CCTCCCCCCCCCCGGGGGTTATTCCCCCCGCACCCCCGGCGGGGGGCCCCCACCCCCCCCCCAATCTTGGCGGGCCGGTCCCCCGGGGGGGGGGTATCCTCCCCCTTATAGAATAGTTAGTGAAAATATGATTTAAAGAAGAAACTGCCTTTAGCCGTTTGATTGATTTCCATATGGAAGCAATCATCATCAAGTCATGATATACGAGAGATATATTTAGGTTTTGACTAAAAGCTAATGAATGTTCCAGATTTCTCCTAGTTTTTATTTCCGATTTCTGATTATTCAGAAAGTGATGAAATATACCATGACTTGAAATCGTAATAGTGAATGGATGCTTACTTATTTGTAAAGAATGAATAGTATCTAAATTCATTGTTGATTGTAATAATGGATTAGAGCTGCTAAGGCTGGATATAAGTCAATGCAAACCATATCTCTATCATAATCTGTGTCAGTATAAATGCCAACACTATTATAAAAATTATAGTGATCAAATACGATGTAAAAATTTTTTTCACGATAATAGTCAGATTGAAATGATAATGAAGATTTTGCAGCTACTTCCTTACTACAAAATGACAAGAATTCTAATTTTAACTTTTTTAAATTCGACATTGGTTTTAATATATTTTGTTCCCAATTATGTTCATTTACTTGTTCAATATCATTATCATTATTTAAGACACTATGAAATTTATATGAAAAGTATTCTAATTTTGAACATTGATATATTAGAATTTGACTGATATTCGGATAAGTAAAAGCACAAGGTAGAAACTGTATAATATCTGAAGTCAAGGTAAATCAAACTCGGTGGTGGAAATTTTAGGGTAGCTGGTAAATTTCTGTCAGCCAATGAAATCATCCATAAAGAATATCGGGTTCCTATGCAATGGCCTATATAAAAAGCAAAATCAAAGTTCTAAAGTATCAAAATTTTTTTTTGGATAATATACATATGTAATATGTTTTGTAAAAACGATTGACTTTTAGGCGATATTTTCAAAATCTTTTTTTTTTGTCGTTTAATTTTCATGACTATTTACGATAATATTGAATACTAAGAAATTAAAATGCAGGCAACGCATACAATTATTGGAGTGTTAGATTTCTATTCATATGTGTATGCGATGAATATCACATGGCAGTTTTTTAATGAAATTTATCATCTTTTCAACAAGATTTTCCTGTTTAAAAATTATCCTTCTATTATCCTTCTCTTATTCAATGTCTTGAACAAAATAGTTCATTTCATTTTCTTAAAAATTTCAAGTTTTGGTTTTCCATCTACTGAATTTTCGAACTTATGATAAATCATGGTTTCAAATTTAAAAATGACTAAATATGGGCATTTAAAAGTTGTGTCTCGAAAATACTGATATCTAAAACTCTCCTAAACAGGTCGAGAATGTAGACGAAGACTTATGGTCAACATGCGAACATTTCACTTAGATTAAGCTCTGACAGTAATTAGATATCTTTATAAATAACTTCGAATAGATCATTCTGATTGATAACGAGCGAAGTCAGTGTATTAGATGTATCATTGTCCAAATAGGAATAGTCTTCAAACTCGTCATCTTCAACAATGGATTCACTTGAGTCAATAGCAGTATGAGCAGATTCATGCGGTGTTTCTTGGTTGTCATCGTCACTGTTGTCATGAGGCTCGTCATCTTCATCGCTTGAAGAGTCATCGGTGACGGCGATGTTGTCGGTCACAAATTCCACCGGGTCTTGGTCGTCGTCGTTATCAACAAACGGATGTCTGTAAAAAAAATACGTATAGCTCTTATCAGGTCGCATGCGGTAGTTGAGAGCTGGAAAAATGTTTTCGATTTGACCATCCTTAAACGCATCAGTAAGAAAAACGTCTGTCAATCGTTCACGTCGCCGAATAAGACGTGTATCTTTTCCAAGGGGGAAAACACTGATTTGAATCAAGCCAAATCTTTCAAATCTTTCCAAATCTTTCAAATCAAGTTGATTCAAATCAATTTAAATCAATCAAAATCAATCAAAATCTTTCAAATCTTCAAATCAGTTTTTTCCCCCTTGCCTCCCGAGGGGACAAAACTGATTTGTAGATTTCAAAGATTTCAAAATCTCTCCAAATCTTTTGAAATCCTCAAAATCTTTAAAATCCTCAAATCAGTTTGTTCCCCCTTGAATCAGCCACACTGGGTCAAGCGGTAATGCTTGTTTTTATTTTCCAAGCAATCTGAAATAATTATATCAAGATTTTCGGAATGCCCTCTGTATGTCTTATAGTGGTCGAGATATTGAATTTCGAAAACCTTGCTATAGTTACTTCAGGTTGCCTTGAAACTAAATACAAACATTACCGCTTGACTCAGCGTGGCTGATTACCCCTATCTTCATGTATTTTGAGCTGATTTAAGATGAAATGGCAGAAATCCGCGCTCTCGGAAAATGTTTGCAGTTCGTGAACTAAACACGCTAGCAGGGGCGGCCCTGTGCACATCGAAAGAGAACAACTTTCTCTATCGAATGGTTACTGCAGTACAAAACTTTGCAAACTATGAGAATTTTCAGAACTATAAAACTTTTTTAATTTATTTTTTTTCTGATATTTTTTTTGCAGAAGTCTATTAAATATTTTATTGTGATAGACGAAGATACTTTCCGCTGAAGATTTTTTCTGTCCATAATATTTATATTGAGGGTTTGGAAGAAAGCATTATACAGCTTACTTGATGATGTTGTCATTGTTTCTGTGCTTGCGCTAGTTGTACTGTTGATGATATTGAATTCGCTGAACAAATTATGCTTTATGTAAAAAAGCAAACTGAGATCACTTCAAGTGAGAAAAGTAAGGCTCGATCCCTTTGCTGATATCTTTACGATCATTTGATTCCGATATGTTCTCATGTTCTTAGTGATGCTAATATCTGCTTGAATGGACATTGGACTTTAAAGAGTTAAAATAATCGTATTCGATCTCATTGAGGCTTCCATTAAATTTGCTAAAACAAGCTGAAAAGTTAAGAACGTATATAAAGGATGATACTCGGTCTATTTATGTAGAAAAGTTCAATAATTTACCATCGTTATCAGTTCTTCGGCTTTCTGATGAATCGATGTCGTTGTTTCAATTTTCATTTCTCTCTGTTTCTGGAAGTCATAATTCGATTCTCTATTCCTCATCTATTTAACAATGTAAATCTACTAAGAACGTCTATAGTACAAGATCGAAGAAGTTCAGTATTCGTCCCATTTAAGTAGAGAAGCGATGCACATTATTAGGCATATTTTTGGATTATTTACACCAGCAGCGTTAAATATATTAACACTGATATAAGTATTGTTTTGATCCAACTTGAATACAATCGTCACACGATGCCAGACCGAATTGGAGTTAGGTATACCAAACAACGTCTCGACTCAAAAAAAGACTCTCTGCTGTCCTTGAGACACTTCAATTTTCATCTGTACTCAGTTTACAATAGATTAATTTTGCTAAAACTGTAGCGATGAGCTGTAGGATGTCGTAAACTTAGACTTTTTTGCATCACTTTTGAGATTAAATTGGTTTGTCTTGCGTGCAAAAGCATTGACTTAACTGCTTACTCTACTGCAGTTGATAATAAAGCGATATTTTTCTAAATTTTGTCTGACGACTTATATACGTACAGAAAAAGTATGTAAAAAGACGAACACATGACAGTTACATATACATGTATGTTGATTAAGTCCATTTTAATGGTACTTGAATATGTAGACAAATATCTTGATCATCAAAATGACATTTTAATTCATCTACTAATGCCATTGCTGGTAGCTTCACTTGTCTATATGTAAATGTATTTTTATCATTACTTATATTATATTCAATACGTAAATCATAACCATTTAATACGACGTGTATTTCTTCATCAGGACGAAGAATAATTGATGGAAATTTCAACAGCATATTTAATAGTTTTTGACCATTTGATGTATCTACTGTTATTGATGGATTCCAGGTTTTATTTAATAAAAATTCATTCATTACTGACAAATGTTGTTGATGATCATCAGTAACAGCGGCTGGTGTACCCTGAAATAGAGAAATAGTTGTTTCTACATTCAACTTTTATATCCATGGAAAATTTCCTGAAAATGTGGGTTGTTCGTTGAAAAACGTACCACGCTTATATTGACTTTAACCGAGAGTAACAGGACTAGTAATAACTCGAGATTCTTATGACGAATATCACGTTTAAAATTTTTTAAAACGGAGCACGGTGGCCTTCTAGATCTGTGAAGATCCAGTTTGCCAGCCGACAGATCTTTTGTGAGCATCTTCATCATTTTTTAGCCAAATACTTTCATGAGCTGGTACCGTCAGATTAGGATCTATATGTGCAGAGCTGTAAAACTTCTAACCGACCAAGGGTTAAAAACACAAACAGATTATCACAAAAAAAAAGAGAGGCTTTTTGTCTTGGATCAGACACTTTTGAAACCAACGAAAATCCTGTGGTATTTTCGCTGGAAAAAAACTTTTTCCCGAAAGTTCTTGACTCAGGACGAACACCTGTTTTTCTAATAGCACACGTCGAGTACATGGAATGGCATACAACGTCCTCAAACTTTGACAAGGAAGGAAAATCGCCTGTGAAAACTCTTTTTCCAATCATTAAATATTTTTTTAGTCTCATGAGAACGTGAAAAGCACGTTTATAGGATTAACACTAAAACTTATTATATGCCAGACTGTAGTTCAAAATGAGCTTGATTGCATGAAGTGCTTTACAATTGATCGAAATTAATTTAATGAAGAAACTAGCAGCAGCTGAAAACATATTTATAAATTATTCAAAATAAATTAAGATGAGGTTAAACTTTCCTGCTCATTCAATGGTCATTTTTAAGACTTGTTTATTTCTTCATATTTTTATTCAAATGTTTGCCTATCAAAGAAAACAATTATCTGAAATTAACTTTATTGCAGACAGATTTTCCTAAAACTTAAAACTCTCGGAAGAAACGTGGATTTTTTACCATTTTATTTTTCTCAAGTTTACTTCTCGCAATGTTAAGTATCTCTGATTTCTGGATATCGGCTAAAACGCGTAAAACTCACCCTCAGCTGTGGTGAGTTGAGCGATGTTTTTTCTCAAATCAGCCTTAAGACCACATTACTAGGCGCAGATTTTTGCGCTGATTATGAATATCAACTTTAAAACGAATGAAACTCAAATTTGAATCGAAAATTCAAATTTAAAATTTGAAAGCTCTTTTATTTCAATTTTCTGACCCACTTAGCCTTAAAAACATTTCAAAAAGTATATCAGTGGATAAAGAATTAAATTCTCTACAAAATGCACTATTGACTTTGTCAAAACAATCTTAAAAAACGCATTTTACACACTAAACAAGTGTTTTCCGGTTGTTGTCGATTTTGAAATGGTACTTTTTTTGCAGCCATTGTACGAAAATCAAAAACGTTTCTCCCACCATTCTTTTTGCTTAGTTTGCTAGAAGGCACTCGATTGCAAATCAAATTTACAGAAATCTTTTTACCGATAAAGACATAACAATAAAACCTACCACAGAAGAAAGAAAACAAATGATGTAATTCCCTCACGGAGCTATCTCTCTTGTTTCTTTTCATTTAAGCATTTTTAAGTGAAAGTAAAGAGATGATTTGAAAGCTCAACAACATTTATATTAGACTTTTATTCTGAATATGTCTCGTTTTAGAGCATTTTTCAAAGTTTGCAGAGCACTGGAAAGAAAAGGCTGTAAAATGTAATTCCGTCACAACATCTATTTCCTGTTTAAGAAGTTTAAAACAGAAGAGACAAAAGATGCGAATGATAAAACTCAGCGTTTTTCATTGACAAAAAAGGCTTTTACATGATTTCTTTACTAAAAGTGTAGTTTATGTCAATCAAAACAAGGACCTAATATACA